TGTGAGATGGATGCAAAGCAAGAAAGATAGGAAAAAAAGATTGATATATGACAGATGATATAATGGAAAAATAGATGAGATTGCTATTGTTATGTATTATATTTATGTATATTTATTTTTTAATTTTGATTATTTGAATATAATCTAATAGTATATAATTATTATTCTCATCCTCAAAATAAGCAAATATTCTCACTTCATTCTGTGTAAGGCATTGTTTAATTGCATATTCTCACTTCAAATAATTAAATTTTGCATGTTTCAGATCAATCAAACGGCGACTAGTTCCAATATTGCATCTTTTTCTACTATCAAAACCAATCATCACTGTATTAATACAAAATTAGGCCACAGTTAATAAATTCTTAAAAGAAGAACCACTGCTTCCATGTACACGAATTTTCTGAAGAATGAGAATGCAGCAATCATCTAAACACTTACTAAGCTAACAAGGCCATCCCATAATTACAAGTTAGGAGTCTTTGTCAGAGTGTGATAGCAATAGGCTTCAAATGGAGTGCTGTCATAAATCTAAAGCAACAACTTACAATAAGTCTCTAGCAATCATTTCACGAAGAAGTTTCTCAGCTGTATTATTCTCATTTCTTTCAAGGAGAGCTCGGATAATTGTTTCAAAAGTTATAGCATCTGGACTGCAACCATTTCCTTCCATTTTTGACCGCAAGGACAATGCTTCGTCAACCATGCTCCTTTTACAAAATCCATTGATCATAGCATTATACCCTGGGGCATCTAGATGATGGCCGTTTGTCAAGAGATCCTGAAAAAACTTTTGCGCATCCTCAAGTCTTCCACCTTTGCAAAGTCCATCAACAAGTATAGTGTAAGTGTACTTGTCGGGATGAATGCCCTTGTCTATGACTTTATTGAATAATGCAATTGCACTATCTAAACAACCGTTTTTGAATAGAGTATCAATTAAGGAATTGTAGGTAATTATATCAGCAAGCTGACCCCTACCATGCATCTCATCAATAAGCTCCGAAACAGAAGAAAGTCTCCCTGATTTGCACAAACCATCAACAAGAGAATTATAAGTTACATTATCTGGAACTACATGTTTGGAATGCATTTCTCTAAAGAGATTCATGGCTTCATTCACCTTTCCAGTCTTGCAGAAACCATCTAGAAGAGAATTGTAAGTTATGTATCTGGAACCATACTTTTGAAATGCATTTCTTCAAAGAGATTTATGGCTTCATGCACTTCTTTAATCTTGCATAATCCATTAATCAATATGTTGTAGCTCTGTACGTTAGGCATTATACCACTTCGGATCATGGTGTTGAATACATATTTTCCATTCTTTACTTCATCAAGGAGGCAACAGCAACCCATTAAAGTATTATAAATAACAACATCTGGTTTCATACCCTGTCTTATCATCACAGCCAACACATTCTTAGCTTCTCTCACTTTTCCATCCTTCCATAAGCTATCAATCAATATGTTATAGGTATAAACATCTGGGTTGATGCTTTTCAATACCATTTCATTGAACAGACCAACTGCTTCCTTCATTTGACCCAAAAGACAAAAGCCATATATTAGACTATTGTAAGTGATATCGTCCGGGTAAATTCCCTTGCAAACCATTTCTGAAAAAAAATCGCATGCCTCTGTCACAAATTTATCTTTGCATAGACTATCAATGATTATATTATAGATGGGCACATCGGGCTGAATCAATTGTCCTTCAATCAGTCTAAGCAACCGGATGGCAGCTCTTGTATCCCCTATCTTACACAATCCATTGATCAGCGTCCCATAACTAGTTGTGTTCAATTGAAATCCTTGTACTACCACCTTGTCATGAAAACGCAAACATTACCGCTAAGACAAAGACCATTCATGAGTGTATTGAAGGTTATGATATCTGGGCGATAACCCAATCTGAGAATCTTGGCCAATACCGAAAAAGCTAAGGTCATGTGATGCAGTTGGCAGCAACAATTGACGGCGATATTGAAAGTAAACATGTTTGGCATAATTCCTTTGAATCGCAATCGTTGAAAAAGGGAGATAGCGGCGTAAGAGTGCTTAATCTTAACAAGGGACCCCAAAATCTTGTTAAATTGAATGATGGATGGGGAAGGACGCATAGTGAGCATGCGATTGAACGAGGCAACAGCATCATCAACATTGTAAATAAACAGGGATGAAGAGGGAGTGTGAAGCTTTGCAGAGTAAGAATGAGGAAAAGGGGTAAAGTTGAGAATAGTGAGAGAGAGAGCATACCTTAACCTTGAGAACGACATCTTCCTTTGATCCCAAAATTAAAATGAAAAGTGAAAGAATGAGTTTAGGCTTTCAGAGGTTTCAATGGATGGATGAAGGAACTGCGTGTACTGTATACCGCGCTGCCCCTTTGTTTTAGTAACATAAAAATAACGGATTTGGACTCGAGGTTACCAAGGAGAGTGGTTGACACGGTAACAAGAACAGATAAATATGATAGGTAAAATATTTTTAATTTAGTATCTCAATTATAATATATTATTGATAGGATTTTTATACTATTAATATTTAATCGTAAATATTACCAATTTTTAAAACTGAGATCTCATATCTGCTTTCAGGTTGAGAAATATTTCAAATCTTAACCAATATAGTTAGATAGTGCAATCTACTTGTGCTTTTTATCAAAAGATTGAATTGTTTAAGGATTTGATTATGCAATTGTTTAGAAAAAATGTTATGTTACTAAGCTTGCATTTTAAAAAAATGATAGATTATATTCTCATAAATTATGTATACTTAAGATTTATTTAATAAATATTTAATTAAGTTGAATTTTCATATATAACCAAATAATATAAAAGGAAAATAATTTACTATTTTTAAAATTAATTAATTAATTTTAACATGAATTATTTAGAAAGAAAAAAAATTTGAGTGAAAGTGATCAACCATAGTTTTATGTTCAGAATAATAAAACTATAAATTAATTAAATTAAAACTAAAGAAGAAAAGAGTAACTAATTTTTGTCGAAGCTTCTATTTTTTATTTAAAAATAGTTTAAATAATATTTTAATTTCTAGATTTGATTTAAATTTGTAAGTTAGTCTCTGTATATAAAAATTTTGTAAATCAATCTTTATAAGTATATTTATTTTTAATTTAGTTTCAGTTGTTAAGTTTACAATGTTAAATAAGTAAGGGACTAAATTGAGAATAAATATAGTATAAAAACTGATTTATAAACTTTTTATATGTAGGGACTAACTTACAAAATTTTACATATAAGAACTAATTTACAGTTTTGAGTCAAAAATATTTTTATAAATTTGATATACACAGTTTGGTTTATATCTACTCACAACCCTTTCCTTTGTCTTTACCTTTTATTCTACTATCGTCATTTTTTTTCTTTCTTTACGTAAATTTCAATGAAAGCTGAAGTCTCTTTTTCTCTTAACTTCTTATCTTTAAAATTCAATCAACTCTTAATGATTTTCACTGAATTCTCTTTTATTTTCAACTACTTCACCATCTTCACCATCACTTTCACCCACATCCACACCCACCTATCTAAACCTCAATTTCTCATTAAAACTTTTTCTGTGCTTGAATCACCCTCATCAATGTTGGTAGCAAAAAAATTAATAACAAGTTCATTTACGTCTTTATCCATTCTTTTAACACTATCAAAATCAAGATACAAATTAAAGGTGTATCATAAATTTATAAAAATACTTTTTACTTAGATTTGTAAGTTAATCCTTATATGTAAAATTTAGTAAGTTAGTTTTTACATGTAAAAAATTTATAATTCCGTCTTCATGCTATATTTATTTTTAATTTAGTCATTTACTTATTTAATATCGTTTACTCTAAACTTAATGATAATGACTAAATCAAAAATAAATATGCATATAAGAATTGATTTATAAATTTTTTATATAAAGAGATTAACTTACAAAGTCAAATACAGAGATTAAAACATTATTTAAACCTTTTAAAGTAATAAAGGAGCCAAAAACTTTTAAATTTGTATTCAAACATTAAACATTAAATTAGAAATATGATTAGTTATCTTCGTATACTAATATCATTCACAGTAATTCTCCTAATAAAACATAAATACATAGGAAAGCATCCTTACATAGACATAGTTTCTAATCAGCAATTTTAGCTTTCTAAATAACATGAGTTTAGTTTAAAAGATTTTTTAAAATTGGTTTATAATTCTTATAATCTTTTAAAGCTTATTTTAATAAATTATTGAGTATACTAATGTATTAAAAAGTGCGAATATTAAATAGAATTTGGCAAAAAAGATATAAATATACTATAAAAAAACATAAAAAATAAATAAAAATTCCTTAACATTAAAAGTACATTTTTTAAGTTGAGTTAAACTCACTTCTATTTAATAACTTGAACTTATTTACGTTTTTAATGAGTAATAACCGTTTATAAGAATTGAAAATAAAGATGTTATTTTAATACATATGGTTTGGGCCACCGAATATACATCTTAATTATTTCAAAACAAACTAAAATCATCATAAAAAACATATTTTAAATATATTTTTTTCATATTTTTCACGTCTTTTCTGTTTTTTTTCTTTGGCTAAATCACCATGAAAAACATATTTTAAAACATTTTTCCATAATAATAATTATAAACGAAAGCTAATTTCTAAACTAGAACAAATTAACTTTTTAGAAAAAATTCAAATTAATAATTGAAAAAGGTTAAGGGATATTACTTATATTTCTTTTTTCTTCAATTTATATACCGTTAAACTTCTTTAATTTGGTATATAAATTCTTCTTAGTTTATTAATTCTAAAGGGTGAAAGGATATTACACATAAACGTCATACTAATATAATAAATACTTTCAAATTCAGAGAATATAATGTAAATACAATTAGCCTAAAAAAACACTGTATAGGAAACGGTAACGTTGGTTAAATAACAGCAAAGGCGAACGTTAAACTCTCTCTCTGCTCTTCTCTTTTGTCTCTGTTGTTTTGTCTGTCTCTGTCTCCCTCCCCTCCACGCTCTCATTCTTTCATACCCATTAGCCAAAACCATAACTCTCTCTCTCTCTGCAAATCCAATTAACCAAACCCTCCATTCATTCCTTTCCCACACACAAACTCCAAAAGAAAATAGAGAGAGAAAAAACAAAGTCTTACGCAAGAGTGTGTGTGATCATCGTTCATCAATGGCTATGGGACCCGAAAGATCGAAGCCACTACACAACTTCTCCTTACCCTGCTTGAAATGGGGCACCCAACGTGTACTCAGATGTGTCAACACCCACCACCCTTCTTCCCTCCATCGCCGATCCTCTCAATTCCAAACACCTCACAACGTCAAAAACGACAACAACGTTGATGTCGTTCCAGAAAACATCATCGGGGATCTCACAGTTGCTGCCAAGAAGCTCAAAGTTTCAATTTTTGAAGATGGGGTTGAAGAAACTACTGCTTCTGTTGCCGTCAATGTTATGCCTTGGAATTTGAGGACGCGAAGAGCTGCGTGCAAAGCTCCACCCCGTGAAGAAGAACGAAGGTTTTTTTATGTTGGGTGTTCTTCACCTTCTTCCCATTTGAAGGAGAAGAAGAAGGTGGTGGTTGTCAATGAGAGAGCCAAGTTTTGTGTTTCTCTTTCTAAGGAAGAGGTCGAACATGATTTCTGGGCTTTGCTTGGAACTAGGCCCCCCAGAAGGCCCAAAAAGAGGCCCAGGGTTGTGCAGAGGCAATTGGATGTAAGTAGAATTTAGTATAATTAATTTAAAGTTGAGTAGAATTGATTTTGATGAAACTGATTTTGAGTCGTTGAATATGATTCAGATACGGCATAAACTAATGAGAATCACACATTCGTATTAAAACGTGTGTTTTGTATTGGAAAGTGCAGAATTGGTTTTTCAACTAGTTTCCTGACAAGTACTAACCCTTTGGATTATGGTTGTCAAATTAAATCTTGTTTTTGCAATTCTTTGGTTTCAGTGTTGTGATAAAATTTTAAAAAATGGCAAAAAATGGATGAAGAAGTGTTAATAGGTTTCTGGATTTGTTGGAAATTTACATTTGGTGCAATTTTTTGCAGACTATTTTTCCTGGCTTGTGGCTGTCTGAGATCACTGCAGAATCATACAAAGTGCCTGATGTTCCTGAATGAGGTGAAGTTTGGTAATTGCTTTTCTCTGTCTATTTAATTGTAGCTTTGAATTTCAACGGAGGATATGGATAGAATGTTTGATTGACTAATGGTTGGTTATATGCTATGCAGGGGATGAAATGAATGGGAAAACTTTTTTCTGGATGTTCCAGATATTTTTGCTTCCTGACTTCCTATGTGATATAAATAATGGTAAATTCCAAATCATCCGTGTAAATCAAAAGTTCAATTCAATAATCATGAAATTTTGGAATTTTTCATTTGGTTGCACTTATCTGATTGTAGTAGCTTGCAAATTCTGAAAATCAACTTTCTTTGCACTTCTTTGAAGATTGTTAGAATCCTGCTTTTCAATTGTTTGTTTAAACCATAACTCATTAAGATAGTGAACATTCCTTTTCAAGTGTTGCACTAAATCTTCTGGTGTTCCAAAAAATCTGGAGACATCAAGTTTTTGTTCGTCCACCTCAGAACAAACTCGTTATTGTCTTTAGAATATTTGTGAGTAGTGTGGTGATAAAGTTTTTTGAGATTATTCTCTCGTAAGGAACTACATGAATCTGCTTCATGAAGCTAAGATCTCCAAGAATTGGATTCATTTAATGGTTCTATGGGAAGTTTGGTATGGTACTAGTTTGGTCAGGTATAAAGACCCAAAATTTGGCTTATATAGATTTCCATAGCATGCACCAGTGACTTACTGCTCAAAAATCGTATGCATGTAATGAAATGGTGTGTCTTTCTGTTGAAAAAGTATGGTAAAAGGTGATCCTTTTTTCCTTTTTATTTGAAGAATAAAGAAGAAAACCATGGTTTGGTTTACTTCAGTTACAATAAATTCTAAGTGAATCATTTATAATGTTTTAACTTTTGTAGGAAACTTCACTGCCATTACTAAATTTTCCATTCTATCCAAATGCAGCTCCAGAACAAAAAAATAAAATGAACGAAAAATTAGTTGTTTTTCAATTTGGAAAGCAACGCCATTACTGAAGCGGTTTAAGAGAGTCCTTTCCATGAGAGGCTTTAGGCTAGACCAGTTGCCCAAAAAGGAGCTGGTAAAATTAGCACATGCTGTTTTGTTGGTGAAATTAGTTCAAATTTTATTCAGAAAATACCTGCTATGATTGTCTTTCCATGCATGTATTTTCTATTTCCACAAGAGAAACCACAGCAGGAAAATATATTTGGCTTTGTCTTCTATTATTTTCTTCACAGAACATTCCATTGATGTTGATTGCATCTGAACAAGAGAAAAACTGTCACAGCCAATATCCCCAGCAAGAATTTTTCTTGTATATATTGTATGTATGATTATGATGGATGGTTAATCTTCAAATAAAATTGGATCAATGCATTTTTCTTTCCATAAAAATGAAATTATCATTGGTTTCCACTTTCCTACTAGTTGTGAGTTCATTCCAAGTGAAACAATTATGCCTATTGTAATTGCACTTGCATCTATTGATGTGATAATTTTTTACTCTTTTGTCGTTGGCATGTTAATCTAAGTACATAAACAAATGCTATGATTAAGTAGGTAGAGAGATATGAACTTGTTGGGTAAATATATAATAATAATTTTGGGCATGTGGGTGATTCTAGCCAACACAACCTTCTTAACTTTTATTATCTAGCAAGTCAAGTACTCTACAATACAATGTCAAATTGAGTTGTCCTAGTTGGCATTGAACTTTGCCAAATCAGGGCACCATCTGGCAGTTCATGATTCAATTAACAATAATGATTCTTGAATAGGTTTTTTCCTTTTACATAAACGAAAATGATGAGCAAAATTATTAGATTTCTTAAAGGATCAGCAAACAATGATGATAATAAAGCACTGCTTGGTTTTCAGTTTAGAAAGTTTACTGAATTGGAAAGGTACTTACTCTAATTTTCACACCATAAACTTTTTTTTACATTCAGACGCACTAAATAAGTGCTTGTTTGTTTTAGCTTAATTCTAGGTAATTAATCGATTAAAGTTCACTCTGAAAAAAGAACCCATGCGGTTATTGGGCTGTGCTATTTTCTTTCCATTTGTTTCATATCTCAATCCAACAAGAAGCCCACTTATCAGAATGGGTTTCTCCATTTACGGCCCATGCTTTATTAACTTCTGGGTTTTATAGGCCCACAACAAACATGAGGTGTAAGCAACCCTGAATGAGAAACAAAAGTATCTGTATAAATTGGTGAATTCAGCATCACAACGTTCAGCATCTGGGCAATGATTTATTTGGTTCTGAGGGATTGGACACCAAATCAAGTGTTAGACTTTCAAAAAGTGAAATAATTGATTGATTAATTTTTGTGGGGAACCACTATTATATGAGATGAGTAAGTCTTGTAATCAAGCCATTTAATAACTATTCAAGCAATTTTAATTTGCCAATGTAATTAATCAATTATTTGGTATTTTTGTTAACATTATATTAAGCATACTAAATTTAAGAAAAATTGAAACATAAAGGTTTTATATATTACAAATTATTTATATGAAAAATCATTTATGAAAAAATAAAGTAATTAAATGAAGCACTGATTGATTTTTGTTTTATAAAAACTTTCAATTCAATTAATAAATTACTAAGATTTACGTTTATAATCTCTTCTAGTAAAAAGTTCGATGGGTGGAGTACAATGCCACTTGTTAATTTTTATAGTACAAAATTGTTTCTTATGACTGGAGTACAATGCCACTTGTTAATAAATTATTGGGTGAATATTAAATAATAATAAAAGATGAACTTTGATAGAAATCTAAGGATATGTGCTTTATATTTAGTTTTCGTACTACACAAAAATTCGTATTAATAAGCATTTTGTTTTTAAAATCGTAAGTATTAAACTATCCAATCCATAAAATCTTGTGAAGTTATTTAGGGGACAAACGCTCCGTTCAATTACATGAGAAAAATATAGAAGTTCCTAAATTCAGCCTACCAATTAGGATTGTGTGCATTCCTCCCATTTTTCCTCACTAACAATCTGATTAATCTTTTCCAACCTTAAACTGAAAATTCACGCAGGCTTTGAAGGACATTTATTACTAACAAACCTAATAATACACATTGTTTAGGATTAGTTAATATAATCATGAATGCCACAACCCTTTGACATCAAATTCCTTTACAAATGTACCCTTAATAAAAAAAAAATTACAAAAAGTCCAACTTGATCAATGTTGGTAATTATTGCAGCAATCCAAAGTCCGCACATTATGGAAAAGAAAAGTAAATGAAAAGAAGTTTCATGACTCATAACAGTAAATATATATGATTTCTAACGAGATGTGTAAACCACCATGAATTATGAAAGTGCATTAGTGGAACTTGATCATTGCTCAATTTACTTTGAACTTTCTAACGTGAAAAAAAAATAAAAATTCATTGGAAGTTCAACTACTAGAGAAACTGATGAAACCGTGTTCACTTCTCCATGTGGAAACTAAGCACTTATGAAACCAATACTTAACACAAGAAACTCGTTCATTATATTTCCATGTAAAATGCATCAATTCAGAGGCTACATGTGCCTCAGTAGATAAACCAAAGGATGGTCCATGATTAGGTGAGTTAAGTAAGGGAAAAGATAACTCAACAATTTCCACAAGTAAAGGTTTTATTCTTCAAGGAGTTGTTTGTTTGCCCATGAAACAGCCACCTTAGTTGTCATATTTTGGCAATTAGAGACAAAGCGTTAGTTAAATAGATGGGGCATTACTCATAGATAAACCAGTGCTAATCTGAAAAAGTACCAAAAGACATAAGGTTCTATATTTAGGAATTAGGAGGAATCACAAAATGGGACAAAACATTAGCATGGATTCCTGTTGTTCTGTCCCCCAAGCTTGGGACCCTTTTATCTTCATGACAAAGGCATTCAGAAGATCCATGATCTATTACAATATTCTTTTAATCTCGCTTCTGATAATCATTATATTTTTATACCTTAATTAACTTCATTTATTACCATGCTAATTGGCTTCCATTACCTCTCACTTTCTTTTTCTAATCAAAACACATAATTATGATGATAATAATAGTAAGCCAAGATGTATTCACGACATGATCATTGATGATGATAGCATATGAACAAATTACTTCTTGCTCTTCTTAACCTTCCCAACACGTAAAAATGAACCCAAACCAAAGAGACTTGCACTGCCCTTTGAAACACAGGGAGTTGGTACGTTTAAGATAGGACTAATCCTAAGACCATTGGCATAAGACCCTCCATAACTCTTACCTGAAGGAGATTTTTGCATAGGATACATATTTAAGGAAGAACATGAATATGATGATGACTTTGCTGCCGAAAACTGCTTATTTGAACTCATTTTCTTTGGATTTGTCACTGACCCAGTTGAGTTGCTTCTTGACAAAAGAGGTAAAGAGCATACCAAGCTTTTCTTTGTATCACAATTGAGACTTTTACTTCTACTGAATCCCCAGAAAGACTTGGAATGAGGCTTTTTCTCATGTTCAGAACTCACATCTAGGAGTTCTCTAATGGTTTCTTTCTTCACTTTGTCAACACTTGAAGCACATGGGCGAGGAGGGAGTTTTGTATAAGGAGGTTCCGCATGATGAGTGTGTTTTCTAGCAGTGGTTTTGTCTTGTATGTGAATGGGAAGAATCACCCCATTTGAGAAAAGTTCATCTGCTGAAGATGATTCAAACTCAAGGTTGCTGCTTGTGCTGAATTCAAAGTCAGAATTTGAGTGCTGAAGCAAAGTGTCTCTACAAGGAACATCTTGTTTCATTGGTAAAACTTGTAGTTCAGAGGGATCATGTGAGAAAGAGAGACGAGGAGGACTTGTTTCTGAGCACATAACGACAGGTTCGTTCCACAGACAAAAAAAAAGATGAAAGACAAAGTTGGAAACAAAGAGAAGAAAAGAATTCAAAGGTAAATAGAAACTTAATATGGCTTTAAAGATTGAAAATATGAGGTTGATTGAGATTGAGAAGTTTAGAAGAAAAAAGAATAAAAAGAAGTCTTTTCATAGTCTTTCAGAGGAGGGATTATAAAAAAGATAAGGGTTTATCAACATTTGTTCAAGTTTCAAGGACTAGAGTGATTCTGTGAAAATTTTAAGATCAAAGGAGATTTAACTTATTCTTTTAATTAGAAACAGATGGGATTTTGCCTATTGCTGTTGGAAAGCAGAAACAAGAGAGGAGGACAAAAGCATATGATTTAAAAAAGAAAATGTTATATGTGACAACTTGGAATTGTAAAAAATATAGTACTCTATAAAAATCAGTAAAAGTGATGCTTGATTATAGGAAAGTGACTGTAATCACAATTAAATTCAGCTGAATTGAAGGAATAATTAATATTGAGTGTCTTTGTCTACAAAACATCCAACCTAGAAAACTTGTTCTATAAGATATAAGACTTTGGGGTTCTCATCCTAACCACTGATTAAACCTTTTGTTCTTTACCCCTATAATATCATATTTATATATAAGGTAGAAGAATATCATCTCATCTCTAATCTCCAGTTAAACAATCATAATAACAAAAATCAATTATTAGAAAAGTTCTGCCAAATATATATTTCAAGATTATATTGATATTTCATCATGTTATTTTTCTTACATGTGGGTGATTTCCTAGGGACACGTGGACAAAAATAGTATCATTTTTCCCATGACCATGTATAACAAAATCAAAACTCAATTTAATCATCAAAGTAATACGTGTATGGATCGGATTGCAACCTTTTGGGGTTAATTACCCTGCGGTTAGAATTATACAATATGGTGATTCGTAGTTTTCATACAATCATGTTCTTCTTGTCACCGGTCAATCAATTAGAAGGCTGGAAATCAAGTGTCTCGTAGGATGTTCCAGTAGAGCTGATGAAGAGCTACTCGCTCACAGTATATAATGCACGTCTTACGGACTTTAGGCGTAGGATGGGTGGAAGGAAATATAAATAAATAAATAATAGAATGTGACAAAAGTAGATGTGACAAAATTAAAATCTAACAAAAAAAAGTAAAATCCCTCTGGATCAAAATCTTGGCTTACTAATAGTGAAACAGATGCAATGAAAGAACTTCCTACCTGCCAACCAAATTTGTCATATTCAACAAGCAGTCAAAATGTTACGATTAATTAACCGATCTTCGTCTTCATTAGGTATGATTCTTGCTGTCCTTACAAATTTCTGACAGTATCAACTCAGCCAAAGTATAAGATGCAAGGTGCTGTCCACTCAATGCCATATTACCATGTTAAGTAATAACTACTTAACTATGAAAACATAAATTAATCAGTATAGTACTGGGGGCGAATAATTAAAATGCGTCTATGATCTTCTTACATTTTTATTCAGTTAATAAGTATCAAATTTGTATTACACAAAAATACAGATTCAAAACTCACTATTAATGTAAAGACTTCATTAGTAGGTCCTCAGAGTTTAGAAATATGCTTTGACCTTATTGATTTATTAGTACTCAACTCACCTAAACTTTTCCTATATCCCAAAAAAAATTCTTATATACTAAAAATGTCACGTTGAAGTGTACCCCACCGAAATAGTTCATGAATATTTAAAGAGTTAGTATTTGTTTGGAAACAGTGGTTTAAGAAAATTGTCTTTAAAAAAAAGGTTTTAAAACTGACAAAAATAAACTATTATTTCTCCAAAATAAGATGAACCAAACCTGAGAGTGATACAGACATTTTTATTTCTTTAGCCTAAATATTAAAAGGGCACTTTGTTATCTATATGGAAAGAATGAAACCTTCCTCTTATGAAAGTGGCAAAATGAGGTTAAAATAATAGTAGGTATAAGACAGATTATAGGGATGAGAAGAAAATTGTAGGTTCATATCTTGATGGGCAAACTCTATGTAGTATGGGCTGTGGGGGTCACCTTAGAGGATGGACCCTAACAGATAACTACAGTTTCTTCATTTCACCAAAACAGATAACCCATTTTTGTCAACTTGTCATGTGAGCAACCTCCCTATTTGGAAGAATGAAAAAACTAACACTGATGACAAAACAGTACTTAACCCCTTATTTGGAATGCTCAAAACTTGCCACAACATGGGGCCCCACTCACCCACTATATGAAGGACCCCCCAAAGCTTCTCTCCCCACCCAAAATTGGCATCAGCAGAAACAATTGCTTGGTACAATAAAAGATGTAACCAAAAACTATAATATGCACTGGAAATGCCATGCACTTTGGAGTGAGACCTATCCTTATTATAGTTGATAAACCCTATACACACTTGGTTGTGGTTGCTTTAGTGGACCCCAAGTCACGAACAGAAGGAAATAATATATCATGAACATAGCACATACATCGTTTGCATAGAATAATAATTCAATTATCTAGGTTTTCACCATTAAAAAAAATTAATTAGCTAGGTGGTGGTGCACGTTAAGATGCCTTATTATGTGTGAAGAAAATAAGCTTATTAATGAAATGGTGTGTCTTTCTGTTGAAAAAGTATGGTAAAAGGTGATCCTTTTTTCCTTTTTATTTGAAGAATAAAGAGGAAGAAAACCATGGTTTGGTTTACTTCAGTTACAATAAATTCTAAGTGAATCATTTATAATGTTTTAACTTTTGTAGGAAACTTCACTGCCATTACTAAATTTTCCATTCTATCCAAATGCAGCTCCAGAACACAAAAATAAAATGAACGAAAAATTAGTTGTTTTTCAATTTGGAAAGCAACGCCATTACTGAAGCGGTTTAAGAGAGTCCTTTCCATGAGAGGCTTTAGGCTAGACCAGTTGCCCAAAAAGGAGCTGGTAAAATTAGCACATGCTGTTTTGTTGGTGAAATTAGTTCAAATTTTATTCAGAAAATACCTGCTATGATTGTCTTTCCATGCATGTATTTTCTATTTCCACAAGAGAAACCACAGCAGGAAAACATATTTGGCTTTGTCTTCTATTATTGTCTTCACAGAACATTCCATTGATGTTGATTGCATCTGAACAAGAGAAAAACTGTCACAGCCAGTATCCCCAGCAAGAATTTTTCTTGTATATATTGTATGTATGATTATGATGGATGGTTAATCTTCAAATAAAATTGGATCAATGCATTTTTCTCTCCATAAAAATGAAATTATCATTGGTTTCCACTTTCCTACTAGTTGTGAGTTCATTCCAAGTGAAACAATTATGCCTATTGTAATTGCACTTGCATCTATTGATGTGATAATTTTTCACTCTTTTGTCGTTGGCATGTTAATCTAAGTACATAAACAAATGCTATGGTTAAGTAAGTAGAGAGATATGAACTAGATATGAACTTGTTGGGTAAATATATAATAAGATTCTTGGGAAATTTAAAATGTTCTCGGTCAAACATTCCCTTAAAACTAACATTCTTAAAAGTCCCTCTCCCCCCCCCCCCCCCAAAAAAAAAAAAAAAGATATATATATATATATATATATATCTTCATTAAAGAGGAGGGAAAACCTACTTTTTTACTTTTTTTAATTTTATTTGGTCAAAATTCTTTTTAGGAGAAAAGAAAGGCAAAATAAATTGAATCAAATATTATACCTTAATTACATTAGGCATTTATTTATACATCAAGGGTGAATCAACTGAGGGGAGGAAATGATACTTTATGTCACTTTGTTGTCATGGAGAGATATTAAAAGGTTGGAGGAAGGAGAAGCTAAGAACGTTAAAGGTTTACTAATGTGACTTAATAATAAGAGATGAATAAGAAATGAGAGAAGTACAAGTCTATAGTGCATATAACAGCTTTTATATAGATAACATTTAATATAATAAACTGATAGATAAATAACATATAATAGATTAGAGAAAATCAAATTTAAAGACTTAGCTCTTCTTTAAGAAAATATTATTAGGGTACTACTTACTGATAGAATGACCTCATCTAGCTGTAAGATCATTTTCATTATAGTTGGCACTGTCATTAATTGTATTAGCCTTAACTTCATTATCTCAAGTGCATCAGCAAGAAACATAACTGCTACCGGTCTTGATTAATAAAAATATTTCCATCACGAACCTCACATCATAGAATCAGCCAAATCGATCAGATTTGAATATATTTATATGATATGTTGAAAAATTGTAAATGGGGAATTTTGAATAGAGGTATAGGTTGGTCAATCAAGTTATCAGGGTTGACACAACACATCATGGTAGTTCTTAATTTCAGAGTAGCTTCACGCCTAACCTACTTCCATGCAAGTCACTATATTCTGACCATTTAGGATTAAAATCGTTAGCACTTGAACCAAATTTAGCTAAGTGCTCATTTTCAAACTTTTTTCTTGCAGTAACTCACATTTGTATTTCTCCGTTGATCACGAAAGAGTACCGTGTTAGAGATTGACAACGATTGCGTGAGGACATTGTCTCAATCTTTGTTTTAGATTCCGTATCATAAGAAAAAGTGCACATGTTGGGAATGACACACTGCCAGCATTCTACCCATATGGAATTTTTTAAGGAGGATTATAGTCGACCAGAAATACCCCAAGATTTTTATTTATTATTATTATATTGTATTTTATACATGGAAAGTATATTGATAAATTTTTTAGTCAAATTTAATGATTTAATTTAATAATAGTGTAAGGACGTTATTTTAATTTACTAATTTTATAAATTTAACATTTCTATTAGACCAATACACTAAAACAATCACAATTGTACGAATATATCGTTAATAGGTTTGAGATTTCTGAAACAAACCACCCAACAAACAGCATAAGAAAATCTACAGCTGACGAGACCCCCACTCTCTAATTTAATATATATTCAGACATTGTAACAAAATATTCTATGAAGTATATAAAGATAAACATAAATCTCTTAAAGTTAACAATTGAAGAAAATTTCTTACAAGTCAAAAATAATTGATACCTTGATAATCCTTGAAGGTAATAATCTTGTCAATTAAAATTTAGTCCACTTTCAGAATTAAACTTCGACAATGTTCCGTATATAATAATAATTTTTTTTAGCAATATAACACATTTTCATTAATTTTTTTAAATAAGCACAACGAATGAATCAAGACTATATCCTAACCATAAATGAACAGAAACTCGGTACTTGTTTGTTTGCAAAACAATTTGATATTATAGTACAAATGACCATGCATGCAGCGCAGCGATTAATAGTTAATTAAAATGAGTGTAAGCCAAAGAATAAACAGCAAACGAGCAAGATTTCTTTTGACAAACAGAGCCGGGACATGTTTTACGGCCACGGCTGAATTAATGGAAAGAGTAAAAACTATATAGGAGAAAGCATGGTATATAAACAATGAAAGGGGGCATAACTCTTATCATCGAAGATCAATGACATCAAATTTTAAGTCTGGGTTCATATAAACATCTGTACAGGTCTTGTAAATAGGACCACCATCTGGAGGCTGATTATGTGGATGAAAGCCACGTTGCTGGCATTGTTTAATGACAGACATTCCACCAGGGGCTGTCAACCGAAAAATGCCATGGTTTCTGCATGTAAATTGACAAAAGTAAATACAAAATAAGTAGCAAAATATTCTCAAAGACAGATAACACAAATAAATATCAAAAACTTGAAATGATTATGATAGAACGTCCAAAATTTAGTACCTTCTTAATGTGTAAATATGAGAATATACCTATCTCCATTTTATGGGGCAAAGGATGATTAATATGCTGCTCTAGGAATACGCCAAATAAGATGGAAGCAACTATAATTGTTTTTTTAATGTATTTTTCATAGCAAATACTTCACTCTATATTTTGGAACATGGATTATTAAGTATTTTTAGGAACAATCAGAGAATTAGAGTTCTGCTAACATTATTGCATGCTTTAGATTATCCAAAAAAGGCTTTCGCCTCTTATCCAAAGTTTTACTTTGTGTCTGTGTTTCCTAAACTTAAAAGGTCACGTCTCTATTATGCAATTTGGGTCTCACCAAATTTATTCTGTTATGGAGATGTTTTCTTTGCTCATCCATACATCAAAAAACACATCCGAGATGTGATCTTACCTTGAACTATCTCTTGGCGCCATGACTATTGCAACAGCTTCTGGCAGCATAATCTTAAAAAACAAAAATTTGCATAAGAAACAAATAAAAAGTATAAAGAAATACAGGATGTGTAATGTAACAGAATAGCCCCATCTATAGAAACAATAGAAGAAAGAAACGCAACCAAAATACCAATGTGTAAAGTTTGATTACAAAGCAAGGGTAAAGTAAAGGATTTTGCACATAGATTTTAACTTATATGTTCTATATGAATTTTATTCTAAGCTATATGTTCGGCAAATAAAGATCATTAGCTGAATCTAGGACGGCCATTTACAACAATTCAATGTCATAAAATAGTGCAAGAATTTAGAGATATAAGTAATGTATGAAACATTCCCATCATTAGCAGTTCTTCAGTTCTCTCTTCTATCATTTCCTCGTTAAGAAACAGCATATACAGACATCTCCAGATATTTAGCAAAGAACATTCATGGAAATTTAATTAAAATCAATTATCTCACCTGATAGGAGTAATGAGTGTGCAGATCAATTGATGACATGAAACAAGATTGCGTAGGATGTGTCTGGCAATGCAGAATAATAAAAAATAAGAAATTCAGATAAAACATAATTTTACACTACAACAAATGAAACTACAGTCACACAATCATAAGTTTCATTCTGCATTATATTGTTTCTGATATCTATTTTTGGAAGTTTGAAATAGGAAGAAACAACTTCACACAACCTAAATTAGTTTCCACCAAACATGGAAGTTTGAAAACTCACATGGATCCACCCAAGGGGGAAAAGGGATCGTTTGTCCTGCACTTCAAATATTTCCTCTTCATTTGTAGTCTGACACTGCTCCGGAAGAACAATAATAAATGTAACATTTACAGAATAAATAATAGAAATACATATCCCCCAAAAAATTTATTGTGAAAGAAAACTTACAGAATCTGAAGTTGACTCCTGCTTTGGGATTATAAGGGCAGTAATATAGAATTTTCTGTTTTTCTGCAGATCAGGTGTGTTTTACAAAATTGCAATCAATATCCCACAGTTGAACATTAAGTATTGAAGGCAGGAGAAACTAAAGCAAAGGAGCCCAACTAAACTGGGGAACATTTTACAAACTAACATTTATAAATACAATGCATATGAAAAGTCGATCTATGAACACAGATAATAAACAGAGAAAAATAAAAAGAAAATGTAGTTATTGCACTAGCATAAGATTGATAGACATACAAAACGTAGTTTTTTTCCAAATATATTTTTAGTTGCAGGGATTAGAGCAATGGGGTAATTACTGTTTATTAGTTAGTTAATGCATAATTCAATTTGGGGATCCCAAGATCCTTTGGATCAATCTCTGCATATTGCATTACTTTAAGACAAAAAAGTGAACATCACTTACTAGCAAACCAGCAAGGACACCACAAGTCTCTAAATTTCTTTTGGTATTCGACTTGGCAAGCTTCATAAAACTCTCCATCAAAGCAGTTGACTACAATAGAAACAATTATTAGAAGAAAGAGAATAATGTCAAACTTCATTCAACTTTAATATTTTAGAAATTGAAAAAATATTTAAAGAAACTAAATACTAAACAAGAAATTAGCTATGCCTCCACAGAAATGTCAACCAAAATGAAGAGTATGTAAAAAAAAAAAAAAAAAAAAAAAGATAAGAAATTAATATTGTTGACTCACAATGTGCAGTTGGAGAGGGGACTCAGCATTAACAGAGCCATCTGATGATGGAATTTCTGTCTTGCATTCTGCTTCATTAACAAGAAGTGACACTGCAGGGAACAAATCTTGGACTTCAGCAAGTACAGGTGGAGGAGAAGGCTGTCTGATAACTTCTATTTGAGCAGAGGTTTCTGTTGTTTCAAAAGAAATAAGAGAAGGAGGCTCCTGATCATGCTGAGGCTGAGGCTGAGGCTGGGGCTGGCAGTCCTCACTTTGGATAAGAATTGAATCAAAATCTGATTTACTGTGTTCGGCAATGTTATTATCTTTTTTATTCAGAGATTCATCTTCCAGGGGATTTACTAGGCTGAATGTTCAGATAAGATAGAAGTAATTAATATTAAAAATAATACATAAACCAGCTCTGAATACATTATGGCATACAAAATTAATTTTAAAATATTGAGATCCAATGAATCATTTTAAAAGGGCTAGAATTGACATACAACATCACTTTTTTCTTGGAATAACTGGATGGCCAATAATAGAGAAAAGCACAACAGAAACTTAAAATAAGCAATTACCTTGGTATTTTAACTGGAGAAAGATCTATGTTGGTTGGATACCTGACCTACATCCAGAGAGAAAAATCAGGATGATCTTTCAGTAGAATAGAATTAAAACATACAAATCCAAACTAGCATACCCCTTTATCAGTCGTTGGTGGTCTCCACTGCCCATTAAGCCCATTGGGACCAAGGATAGAATGTCTAGAAAGAGTTTCCTCCTTTGGAGGTGGAAGAGTTAGACATCTGCATAAGGTTAGCAAAAATATAGGGATCTCTTAGTCAAACAATATTTTTCCAAAAAAAGTACAAGTAGTATGTGAAATGCCTCAAAAGGCTAAGCACGATTAAATCAAATGAATGATAAAATTAGATGTAGCTGAAGCAATTTCCTAAACCCAAACTACAATTGGACCTTGCTTCACTGGTTTTCTGGTTCTTGGGGATTAAAATAACTTTCCATGTTCTCATTTTTTAACATTTCCTGAATCCTTTGGTATATGGTCATTTAAATTATTTAAATATGTTAAAATTTCTTATTTTTAACTTTTTAAAATTCTTTGACTGATGTAACTTCTTTCAAGGTTTTCCAATCAGTGACATCTGAAAATTCCATAGTGTATCCATCAATACTATTTGATACAAAGATAAATTCTATTTCAACCAGCAGGTATAACCCAGGAAAAGAAAATGCTGTTGCTCACTTAACCAGGTCAAATTTTATATTAAAAATGCAACACATTAATGTAAAAGAAACAAGTAGATTTGAACTACTCTTACAACAAAAACTCAGATTAGCAGAGTCACACTACTGACATTGCACAAGGAAGAGAAGAGCATCTAGCATTATTGACTTTTAAACACAGTTTTCCTCATGATATTAGATTTAACTTCATTCGATGAAACAAGAAACTGCAATAGTATATGCAATACCTATCATCATTAGGAAGTCAATTATACATGAATTATGAGTTCAATACTTACAGTCTCCGTGCATGCTCTCCCACAGGCCTGCCATAAGAGAACTGTTGGCTCCTTGATCCTTGGTAAACAAGCTCCCCAGCAGATGGTCTGACTGCCTGGTCAAATATACAGCAAAACTTCTTTTCAAGGGGAGCAGAAAAACAGAAAAGATTTAATTTTTGGGAAAGATTAGCACTTATGAATGACAACCTTTGACAGAGTAAGTTCTGCAAAGTTTACCTTTATTTGGCCATTACTACCCAAAGTTTGCTTTTTCACAGGTGCGAAATCAAGTGAATTATTTGAATTAAATTTTCCCTGCCCATTTGGTTGGTATGCATGTTTGCTGTTGAGTTCATTGATCTTCTGTTGGACTCCTGGCTTCAACTTCTCCAGTTCATTCAAAGAAATTAACAATTTCTACCACAAGAACTTGAAAATCAGACTTAATCCAAGATTCTATAACAACAATTTTCATTTGAAGAACAGTATCAATGGCTAACCTTTTTCAACGATTCTTTCTTGATTTGTGGAGATGATCTATAATCTCGGTGACGTGGTATTGTCTCAGTGGCCAAACTGAAACAAAAAAAATGGAAGGACACTCAATGCAGTTTAATGAAAAAGTAACAAATACCTGTTTTAAACTAATCAACTGAAGACAAATATACCATGTGTCAAATAGTCATACAAGCGAACGAGTGTTACCTAGAAAATCTTAGAAGCATGACATATAGGTCAATAATATTCTTCTCTGCACGAAATATGTCAGCCTGCAATGTTAAAATCAAAAGTTGGAGATGAGGGTCTTGCAGAGCAATAAAGATGCAACATGAACATTTTCAGATATAAAAGAAAAAAAATTAAAGCAGGACAATAAATTCAAGGACAGGAACGACAATATTAGCACAAGCAACCAGCAGTATATGCACAAAATATGCTGAAATAAAGAATAAACTACTTATCAGCATTATTCTTCATAACAGAAACTGACTGCAAGGAAAATGCAAGGATGAAACTAGATACTGGCATCCATGCACGTCACGTCACTTTTCATGCCACTCTAACATTATCTCATTTACTATATCGCATGGAAAATTCCAAATACTAATGAAATTTTATGAACATAGCCTAATATACTTCAACATTCGTATCTAACACACTGCATTTTATGATATTGATTCATCTGGATATACAGCTTCATTAAGCGCTTATTCAATAAGTTCCTTTTAAATGATGACTTATTAAAATAAGCTAAAAAATGCTTATGAGAATCAAATGCTACAAAGTATTTCGTAAGAGGCTAGTCAGCAGTGCAAATTGCAACATCTCAGCAAACTCTTTTTTCTGTCCCTCATCCTTTCACTACACACGCAATAAAATCAATAAATTGAAAGCGTATTTATATTTAAAAATGTTAAATATTTCTAAAAAAAGAAAAACAAAGAAAAACAACACAAAAAAAAAACATAAATTAAACCCTATCAGCTATCTATCTATCACGAAGGTTCCTTCATTCCAATTATTTAATACATAGAAATTGCATGAAGATGAAGAAGAGAAGGACCTGTCGGAGGATGTTATCGGCGATGCGGTAGTAGAAACGGAGAGAGATTCGATTATCAACATCGAGTTTCTGAGCACTGGCAGCGATGTTGATCCTGTCCGAAGAAGAAGACCGCATTGTTTTATTCTAATTGATTCTCGAAACGAAGCGTTTCACCGTCTTCTTCTTCTTACAGAGACACGATCACATCACCGCTGCGAGAGGTGAGGAATTGATCATCAACGGCGACTTAGGTAAGGTTCAGGGAAAGGGGTTGAACCAATGGATTGTAAATTTTGTTTGTTCTGAGGGTAAATATGGCAACGCAGGGTCGACTAAGGACCTGTTTGGCTGCTCCCGCGTTGCCGGATTTTTATTTTCTCTTTCTTTGTTTTTTCAAAAAATTGTTACTCCCAATTTTGCGTTTGCAGTTTGGTAAACTGCCGTTTCACCCGCCGTTGTCGTCCATGAAAAAGTAACGCGCTTTATAATATTAGAAAATAAGTTAATAATCTTACATTTTAAAAATAATCGCATACACCTTATAAGTGTTTTTATTTATGTGCACATAAAAAATAAAAATAAAATATTATAAATAATGCTATTTATTATAAAATCATATTATTGTGATCCATTTGAATAGAATTATGACAATATATAAAATAAAATTATGAAAAATATTGTCACGAGTCTAAATAATAGGTTTTTTACACAAATAAAAGATTTTAAATATAAAATTACTTATATGTTTTGAAATATTTTTTTATATAAATATCTTAATTTGAGTTATATAGAAATCGATTAAAACTGATTTTACACACAAATACAGAAGTCGATTATAATTGTTTTTAAAATTTCAATAAAAAAGTGTTAAAATAAAGTTGATTATAATCGACTTCTATGTTATATAAGAGTCGATTATAATTATTTTTAAAATTTTAATAAAAAAATATTAAAATAAAGTTGATTATAATTGACTTCTATGTTATGTAAAAGTTGATTATAATTGACTTCTATATTCTGTATTATAAGTTATTTTGTTTAAATTTTTTATTTAAATTAAAGAAAAATAATAATTTTAATTAAATTTATTAATATTTAATTATAAAATTATTAAATGATATCAATGTAAAAATAATATTTCAAATGACATAAAATTTAAATTTTAAATTACATAATATTTAAATTTTTAAAGTACATAAAATTAAAATTTGAAAGGACATAAAAATAAAATTATAAAGTACAAAAAATTAAAATTTTAAAGTACATAGTCCATAAAATATATAGATCATCATGCAGCATATGTGACTATGGGTCACGCCTATTGTGTCTGGGTCCAGCAAGGCGACTCCCTATTGTACAACGACGATATATAATCTGTCATACAGGTCTTCGGTGTGTATGTTCCTCCTCCTCCGATGAACTATTGAAGGAGAGAGTTCGGATATGTGATGGTGATGGTCGATATAAATTATCTGCAGGTGGTATTGTACCGATCAATGACCTTAGCAAATTCGTAACCTTAGCATCTGACATGAAAAGTGGACTAAAAGATATATGCTGCATAGGACTGGGAGTAAGAAAAGAATTTGATATGAACTGATGACTAGGACCTCCCATAAAATGTTGGCTAGGGGTTATACATGGTAGGCTAGGGCCCGACATGAAGTGGTGCTGAGAAGAACCAATCATGTACTACTATTGGCTAGGTCTTGACATGAAGTGGTGGCTAGGGTATGTGGGTGTCGGGTAGTATACGTAGTGTGAGGTCTGCTGTACAGTTAGATTTACACTAGGTTCTACATCGTGTGCTGAAAGGTCGGCTGGTATATGTACTTCATCACAGTACTGACGTCTACTAGCACGTGTACCTGCACACAAACGACGCATGAAAGTACGTCTATTTGGAATGCCATCAGGGTGTGTAATGTTAGGTGCTGGAGGGGCATGTAGTGGTACATCATCAGGTAAGTCCCTAAGCTCTGCATCATGTGGAACTTCATCCAATGACAAAAATCTGTTAGCGATTGATAAGTACCACTGAAAGTACTCGATAGAGGGACGATCATCATTTGCTAGAGGATATTGATCTCGCCTCTCCCTATGTGCCTCCCATGTAGCATGTCATGTCACATGATAATCAGGCCACAATATCTCTAGATCACCTCTCTCATCCTTAGCATGCAATTGATCAATATTTATAGGGTTGATTGGTATGTGTTGTGCTCAACCATATTGTCGAACCACGCGATTAACATGGTGCCACTCAATCACAGTAAAATGTATAAGAGCAGTCACAGATGCCCAAATATCAGCCTCATCATACACAAAAGGAGGTGTAATGTTCCTGACTTCATTGTTGCTTTAGGGCATCCACCTAAACTGAAAGTCGTAAAATAAAATATTAGACAAAATAAATATAATTATTTAAAACAAAAGTTAATAGCGTACATCATGTTTCAACTTGCCCCATTAATGTCAATTGAACCAATGATCCTCCTATATCGCAATAACTTATCTATATCTAATCTCGTCGATGACCTAAAACTTTTTCACCTGAAATGAGCATAATTATTTTTTACTTGCAAATTTAACATATATAAATAATAAAAATTAATATATCCATAAATAATAGTACCTTAATGCTAGTGGAAAAGTGAGAGGATAATGGTGTCTAGGAGTTAACTGAGGTATTCTATACCATGCCCAAGACTATATAAGAGGCAAACAACCTGCAATTTTGGTGACATTATATTTCACCGCACGACATAGCTCACAATAAAGAGATGCTAAAATAGCCGAACCTCAACTATAGTTTGAAATCTCTGTAAAATCAGCTAAAAGAAGTAGCCACTTCATATGAACCTTAAATCTTGATTTATCTGGAAATAATACCTCACCAAATAGAATCATTATGTATGCTCTAGTGTAATGGATAATAGTTTGTCCATCAGCATTGTGAGGTAATGCTCCAAATATATCTATGAACAACTGTAGATTTATAGAAAATCTTTTTATGTTTCTCTCATCAGAAAATACTCCAAGTAACTCTTTACATAATGCCCATATATTATGATCATAAAATTTCTCTCACGCTCCAATGCAACCACTCATAGGAACTTCATCTACACGTAAGCCTAGCTGAAATACAACATCCTTCAAAGTGATTGTACATTCTCCGTATGGAAAATGAAATGTATGTGTCTCAGACCCCCAACATTCTACAAGTGTACTTATAAGTGTCCTATCATAATCAAATACTAGAACCATTTGTGCAACATGCCAAAAACTAGTCTGCCTAAGAAATTGTTTCATTCTTGAATCTAGAGGAACCATCATATTATAACATCTACTTTTTAAAATTCAAGCTTCATGTACAATAACAAAATAATATATACAAGATTTAAATGAAATATTATAACAAAATGATTATAATTATAAATTACTACAATACAAAACTAAATTATCATAATAATTATAAATATATAATTTTATTTACATTCCTCAATATAATAATTATAATTAATAATTAAAATTAATTTACAATATAATAATTCTTAACATTTACACATATTTCTAAATATATACTTATAGAATTAATAATACATTAACTTAAATACATAAATAATTAACTATAATTTAACTAAATATATTTAAAAATTAATTTACCTATGTTAACAGCTTGCTTGCAATATAATCAACAAAATTCAGTCGATATAGACCATTATCCATCTTCTTTCGTCGTCTCCGCTTCATTGTTATCTAGTCTCACTCTCTCTGGTCTCCTTTATTTCTCTGATTTTCTTTCTCTCTTAGTCCCTCGTTGTTGCTACTCTCTTATAGTCGATTATACTCGTCTTCAAAACGAAATTGAAGTTGATTTTAATCGTTTTACGTGTAATATGCAAGTCGACTTATATCGACTTCTTTGGATTCAAAAAGCAACAACGAAAGTCGACTTCAATGGTGCACATTCAACTTCGTTCAACTCGTTTTAAGGTGGATCACAAAAAGAAAAATCGATTTTAATCGATTGTTGTTAACCATTTTCAAGACATTTGTGTAAGAGAATAAATTTCAGGGCACATGCATAATTTTATACCCAAAAAGTTATATTTTTGTGAAAAAGCCAAATAATTTAAAGTTTTATGAAAAAAGTTATCTGATCTAAATTTATTATTCATTTAATTTAAAGTGGTTTTTTTTTCAAAATTTGTTTTTTTTTATTTCAAAGAAGCATGAAAATTGAAAAAGAAAGAAAGAAAAATAAAATATTATGTAAAACGAAACTCGTGATTGTAATATGACATGAGTTTTGGTTTTTCTATTGAATGTTGACTAAACCAAGTGGAGAAGAAAATCAATGATGGATGTGTGTTGCTCCCCCCATTTCAAATCAAGTTCTATATACTTCAACTTTTTCTTATTTATCAAGATAGGTTCCGTTTAAAGTCCTTCAAATTTTACTAACCAAGTGTTGAGGACAAAATCTCTATTAGCTCATAAGCCATCTATTTATTAAGAGGTAGAATAAAATAACAAGAATTTTTATATTTTAAATTTTGTTCATAAAAATTATTATTTTTGTACACTAAATATAGATGATGGACCAACACTAAAGTCATCAAATTATTTTATCTTTTAATGGCATATAATAATAATAATTTGATCATATCAATTCAATAGCCTTATAATTGATTTTCAATGATCCCAAACGATAGTAGACTAGAAAATAATTATGGTCAAATTTTCACTAAACAACAATATTCACTGCAGTCAAACCTTTAGACATCATTCATTATGGTCAAACTTGTATCAAACCAACTTAATGGCAAATATAATATAAATTTGTTTATTTAAGATTAGTGATTAAATATTTTTTTTTAAATTCAACCAATATACTTTAATTACTTTTTTTACCCTTTTATTACTATTTTATAAACATTCGTGTAATCGATTAAAAACCGTTTGTTATCGATTATAATGTGTATTGATTAGTTTGATGATTTGGTCCTCTCATTTCATTCGAAGGACCTTAAACCTTTCATGTTTAACAATATTAATCAAGCATGCTTTATTTGACATGAGATAAACAAATAATACACTTCACAGCTATTTTTATTATCAATATTTTCAATTAATTATCAAATTTACTAATTAAATTAGAGAAAAAACATTAAATATTAAAAACGCAACACGTCACTTTACATAATCATACAAATTGTTGTATTGAGAATAAAATATAATTAAGTAATAATGTTTATAACATTATACACAACAATACTCTTGATAATCTATATATCAAGTTTATGAGCTAAGTTGGCACAAGAAAAATTATGATAAAATTTAAATAAAAATTGTATTAAATATGCGTAAATTTAACTACATAAATACAAATTTTCACTTTAAAATTAAATTATATATATTATTTTTGAAAAATTGAAAGACTTGCCATGGATCATTTTGATTTTGATAAAATGTATTATTCATCTTGGTTTATTGATTTTGACTATGACTCGGTTTCACGTGCTTGTTCTAGTGGCGGATTCATTAGCCCATTAATTAATTATTCTTTCTTCAATTAGACGCTAAGATTTTTTAGCTTAAATTCTTCAGAGGAATTAATTTAAGTTTGAAGATTGAAAAAATAAAAACAGCAAACTTTGAGAGTTAGTTTATAGAAAATGCTCAACTATATTAAAAAAATCTTCTAAGGATATCCTTTTTGAGAGAAAAAAAAAAAAGTTGCATTGACTAAATATTTAAACAAAAGTCAACAATTTCCCTTTTCGCTAAATATGTTAATTCTTTTTAAGGTAGAGAAGTTATTAAAACAAATTTGATCTCTTCTAACAATATTGTTTTTATGTTAATGTCTTTTAACATGAGAAAAAAATATTAACTACACACCAATATGAGAGGAAAAAAAAAGTGTATTTGTAAAAGTAATTTCAAAGAAATCAAATCCATGAAGTTTTATGTTAGAAATCACTGTTAATTATAAGAATTAAAATTATAATAACATATATAATAATTTATAAAGTTAGGAATTAACAATAATTATTATTTTACATTCTATCCATTAAATTGTACCCTACATTCCAAATTCAAACATTATAATATCATCTAAATAATAAAATAACAACTTTTATCTTCTGTTTATTATTATCATTTTTCTCTTTGTATAAACTAAATATTAAAGTAAGAACTTTTAATGGATTTGGGTAACCATTCTAAATAGATAAATATTGAATGACATCTGTTATTTGTTTAGCCACATCATAAATTATGTAGAATATATAAGTTTAACTAAAACATTAAAATGCATGTTATTCTATTTGTTTAAAAGGGTTAGAGACTATTTATAAATTTTTAAACCTAGAAGCAAATAATATGAGAACAAGCAAAGACTATTTCTAAGAATGAAATTGTCCCAACTCGAATTAAATCTTAAGCCTTGTTTTATTTCTTGTTTTGCATTGCGTCTCTATTAAGGTTTCTCCCAAATTGAATATAGACCCTTTCTCCATTGCATCTTTATCTTCAACACATTGCAAGTCTATAAAAAATTATTTTGTAGGGCATATTTAAAAATAAAAATAAATTGAATAACATGGATTAATGAAAAACTTGTGTCAATTGAGAATTGATCCACATTAGCATGGAACCCATATACCCACTTAAACTTTTAATAGATTGAAATAACAATTGAAATTAAATAAACATTATATACATTTTTTTTTTCATTTTCTTTACAAAATAAACCCACTCTAAAAGAGTCTTGTTCTTCATTTTCAATACTCACATATGATGTATGCATTACAAATATCTTAAGAAATCATAATTAAAAAAAAAAAACAACTAGTCAAAATTAACTTGAGAGGTAGAAACAAACTACTCCGCTGACCAAATGGGTGTTTCACTTTTTCATCATTCAGATAGTCAAATATCATTCTTTGCATGACTAAGCCATTGAATTAAGAATTATTGCGTGAAACTTCAATTACTTTGAGACAATCAACCTCGTGAAAGGTCAATCAATTTATTTGATCTTTCTAGTTTTTAAGGATGTTGTAAAAACAAACATTTTAATAAATTTTAAGACGGTAAAATCTAAATTTTATGTTTATGCATTTAAATTTTAATTAAAAAAATTTAACAATAATTGTGATGTAAAAAAATAGGAGATGTTAAAATTTAATTAGATTTTTGTGCTTGACAATACATAACGATTAATCGCTTTATGTTTATACATTTTCTTTTCTTATGATATTTTTTTAACATTTACGATATGCAGTTTTGGCTTGTTAATATGCAATGCCATGAAATTTAAGCAGCATTTAATGCCAAGTCAAATTTATTTTCCGCGTCGAATTTCTTATTCTTATAAGATATTTATTTTATCTAAGATGATATTGATATATATATATTGAACAGGTGCGAATCCTGATTTATAGGACTAGGGTACACGATTTAGAACCTTTACACTTCATAAAAAGTTAACACAATTTTTGCAACTTACACTCTTTAATATGTTTTTTTATTAATTAAAATTTATTAAAAATTATAAAAATATTTTCTTATAAATATTAAATTTCGATAATTTAATTATTAAATAAAGTTACATATTTGTATATATTGAGTTTTAAATAAATCAACTATTTATAAATATATAATTTTATAATAATATTTATTTATATTTTAAAAATATATATTAAATAATAAAGTGTTAATTAATTTTCAATTTAAGAATTAAATTAATAAAAACTATAAAGAATTTTTAAATGAAATAATTTTCACAAGATTATTGCTAAAATAGATAAAATTTAAGAGTATTTGTTACTTTATATATGTTTTTTTGTTATTAGATTTTTTAAATTTTAATAATGAATATATAGTATTTTATTGTTTAAATTTTAAAAAATTAAATATTATAATTAAATTTTAAAAAGTAAGATATTAATTTTTTTTTAACTATTTTTAATATGCATCTTTTAATTAAAAGATTATTGTAAAAAAAAGTTGAGAGAAAATAAAGAATCTATATAAAAATTTAGTGTAAATTTTGAATATTAATAAAATTAAAATTTTATGTTGATAATATGCATGATATTAAATATATTTTTATTAAAATAAAATTATAATGTGATTAATAAATCAGTTTGAGAAAAATGGCTTAATTTTTGTCCCGTATAAGATTGAACGGGACAAAGTAGGAGCGGTTATTTAAGAATGAGGTAGAAACGGAGGAGTGGCGTTATTATGAGCTCACAACATATTCAACCGTAGTCACTGTTACAGCCTCGGAGTCTGCGCTTAAACGACGTCGTCGTCCATGAGGTTCCTCCTCGGGTTGTGCCCCTGCTTGCGGAAGACCGGCACAGCCTCCGACGCCGCCGCCGACCACGATCCCAACGCCGCCGCCGACCACGATCCCAACGCCGCCGCCGACACTCTGGATCTCATCTTCGACCTCCACACTCTCCAACTCGCCACCAACTTCTTTTCCAACCTCAACCAACTAGGTCACGGAGGTTTTGGTCCTGTCTTCAAGGTACAAAACTTAAATTATTCCATAAAAATTAATATATTACTTTCTAATCAGAGTTTTTTATTTTTTTATTTTATTTTTATGAATCTGTGATTAATTATTTAATTAAAATATGCATGGTTTGTGCAGGGATTGATGCCAAATGGTCAAGAAGTGGCGGTTAAGAAGCTTTCGATGGAATCTAGACAAGGAGTTAGGGAATTCACGAATGAAGTGAAGCTATTACTCAAAATTCAGCACAAAAACTTGGTTACATTGCTTGGTTGTTGTGCAGAAGGACCTGAAAAGATGCTTGTCTATGAGTTTCTCCCAAACAAAAGCCTTGATCACTTTCTGTTTGGTATTGCCCAAAAATGTTTATTTAGTTATTTATTTATGTGTAATACATCAAATTAGTCCTTATAATTATGAGATTGATCAACAATTTAGTTTTTAAATTACAAAAAGATCATTTTAGTATTAAGCGATGACCATTTTAATCCTTGAAGTTATATAACAATGGTCATTTTGATCCTTGAAATTATACAGTAAGAACTAAAATGACTTATATTTAGTAATTTCAGGAATTAAAATGGTGTTTTTAGAATTTCAAGGACGAATTTTAAGTCTTACTCTTTATTTATTTATTTTTCTTTTTGTATTGTTGTTTCTGGGTAGTGATTGATTGGCAACAGTAATAACATAACAATTTTTAGATAAAAGGAGGTCTTCATCTTTGAACTGGGCAACACGATTTAGAATAGTTACTGGTGTGGCTAGAGGACTTCTCTACCTGCATGAAGAGGCCCCGGAAAGAATTATTCACAGGGACATTAAAGCTAGTAACATATTGCTTGATGAGAAATTAAATCCAAAAATTTCGGACTTTGGCTTGGCAAGGCTGTTTCCTGGGGAGGATACTCATGTGCAGACATTTAGGATTTCCGGTACACAGTGAGTAGATTCTTTGCTTCTTGTTGTTTGGTATTCACGTGTAGCTATCCTTATGCTTTTTATGTTTGGTGAAATGCAGTGGCTACATGGCCCCTGAATATGCATTGCGTGGATATCTTTCTGTAAAGACGGATGTTTTCAGTTATGGAGTTCTGGTGTTGGAAATAGTTAGTGGAAGAAAAAATCATGATGTGAAGCTTGGTTCAGAAAAAGCAGATCTCTTGAACTATGTAAGTTGATTAGATGGCAGATCTCGTGTAGCTATGCATCGATTATGCTTATGAATTGGGGGGGTTCTTGGCATATATCAAGAATCAGATGCCATAATTTGCATGGTTTTTTTTACCGAGGAAAGTGCATATTTTCCAAGTATATGCTGAGGATTAATAAAATGGAAAAGTGCAGTATCATGAGTCATGATGTTTGTTCTTGATATTCACTTATATATGTTAATGTTAGTGCCCAAACAGGTATGTTTCTGAATAAATTCTGTTGACAGCACTCTTCCATAAGGCTTTTATCTGGGTTACTATGTATAGCCGTTCAAGGGTGAGCCATGGTGCAACCTGGTGATGAAAGGTTATAGTTACAAATTAACCATTCCACGCACATGTGCAATGTTGCATAGATCTTACCCACCTACCTTGAACCCAAAAAAATGGTGGAGTCTTGAGCACTAGGCCAGCCTTGTGTTAAAATTCATCTCACACGAAGTTGTCCAGAAAACAAGGTTAAATAGTCCAAGGGATTTGAGGGATAGTTAAAACTCATGTAATAGTGCTTTCTTTACTTTCTTTTTTTTTTTTTTACAATATTTCTCTTTACCTACTTTGCCAAGCAAATGTTGTGTCTATGACCATATTGAATTTGATGTTGATTTTTTAACTAGCTTATGCCTGTCCTGGAATATGTAGTAAGACCCTGTATCATTGGTCATCTGCAATCCTGAATTAGTGTGCCTTTGCTGATGAAAAGAGTAAATTTTTTGTACAGACATGGCACCATAAAGCATCTTGCTTCATGTGAAATGGACAACAAAACCTGCATTTTATGGACTGATATGGATAGTAATTGAATCCCTATTTATTACTTTATGCACACTGATCATTAAGCAAAGTATGTGAGCATTTCTTTACTGTATTTGTAGGCATGGACACTATATCAAGGAGGTAAGGTAATGGACTTAATTGACCCAACGCTTGGTAAATACAATGGTGATGAGGCAGCAATGTGCATTCAGCTAGGTTTGTTGTGCTGTCAAGCAAGTATAATTGAAAGACCTGACATGAACACTGTTCATCTCATGCTCTCAAGTGATTCCTTTACTTTGCCAAGACCAAGTAAACCAGGAATTCAAGGTCGTGCAGGACGTTGGACTACTACCACAACTTCTGCTTTAACCAATACTAATGCTAGTAGTGCTACCAAGGCCTCAGGTGGTGGTAGTTCTGCAGAGGATTATTCTAGAAATTCTATCTCTACTTCATCCTTTGATGAAGGAAGATGACCTCCATTCATATTGTATAGGGTGTATAAGAGGCTCTCTCTATTTATTTAAGGGTATTCTTTTTGTAACATTGTATTTATATTAGTAGAGAAAAAGTTTTATCTATTTAATAATATATATAGAATTTAAGCCTGAGTTAGGCATTTTTGATGAGTCCGGTACTTTTGAATATTATTTAATGCTTATTTGGCCAGATATAAAGGCTTACTTTTGATTAAGTTCTCAATAAATATTTATGAAAGATAAAAAGGAAAAAACAAAAAAGAAGATGAATCAAAGTTTTATTAGTCAAATTATTTTTTTTTTTTTACCTTTTTAGAAGTTTTTTCAATTAATTTTTTAAAAATATGAGGTCATGAGTTCTTTTAATTCATGAGAAAAATTTTAGCGTTTTACTTTTTTTTCTTTTTTCTTTTACAAGTTCTTCGGTATAATTTTACTCAAATTGCAGTATAGTTGATAATAAGCATGATGATCTTAAGTTGTGATGGACAATGAAGGGCTTGGTTTATGGTTGAACTAATTTGGGAAGTAACTGTAGGATGACATGATATTCATCTTAGAAACGTTTCGGTTTTAAGTTAATTATCAAATGAATACTACTATTTTTTCATGATATTTTTATTTGTTGGTCTAGTGAATCTACTGGGTCTTCTGGGATATTGTGAAAAAACGGAGTTGGCCTACTCGGACTATGGACTAGATGCAAACTGCAACAAATTTTCATGAAAGAGAGAAAAATTATTATTGTACTTGTTACATGCAAAGTTTAATCAAATAAGAAAATGTTTAACTATGGGATCTCCATTAGGGGTTCCGAAAATGGAAATAAGGAACAAGAAAGAGATGTTCCATGTTGACTGAAAAAATTGTAATTGTTCTTTAGGTTCATGGGACAATAGAAGTCTTTGTTTTTATTAAATAGGGTTGGCTACACGAATCAATCATACGTTGACATTTTAATCCATCATCGGAGTGGGTCCTTTTGGTTCATGGGACAACTGAAGTGTGTTTTTAAGTTTGGTCACACGAATTAATCGTATGAGATGATATTCTAATCTGCCAACAGTTGAGTTTTGAACAAGTTATTTATATCAAAATCCTTGCTAACAATTATTTTGGAGGTGTTATTTATTTTTTCTTTCTAAGTTGTATCTGCTTACTGGGAAGTATTTTATACGTCAACTCCCTTTGACTTTTTCCGTCATGATTAAATCATCTTATGTATGTACATTTTTAAACAATAGACATTATAACTCTAATAATTGATTTGAAGAATTTTATATTGTCAATGAATATATCGTCACATTTGATAAATTTAATAATTTCATGTATCGCTAAATTTGTTGAATGATAAGACTTTTACCATGTCACATCATTATAAAAAATGAAATAATTTGACCCTTAAACATGTTTGAAACAAAGCTATCTTGCAATTGACAAAGAAATTCAACTCAAAAGTACATAGAAAGAGGGAGTATCATTCTCAACATGAAGTAAGAAGACTAGGTTATGTTTGTTTAAATGTATTAATTATTTAACCTCCAAATAAGGCCATGCTGACTGTATTTCAAAAAGCAATTGCCCTATCTTAACTTGTCCTCAGCCATTTTCATAAGGCAATTGCTTGTGTTAGTTGTGAGGGCATTTTTATGAAGCTTATTTTATAAGTTATTTAAATCGAGAACATAGAAATGGAGTTTAGGTGGTGAAGAATGCAAATTTTATTATGCCAACCTACAAGTAAACAGAATCACTTCCAATCCAGGTCAAAACACTGACAAAAATTTTAAAATACGGAATATGGATTTGTTAAGAAAAAATTATCAAATTCTACATCCACCAGGCCACAGTTGTTTCTAAAAGTCTCTAAAGGAAATCCAGAATTAAAGCCAACTTGCACAAAATTTTAACCATCATCCACCATGTGTAAATCAGAAACAAATTCAAAGCAGAAAAATAGAACCTAAGCCTCAGTACTAGGATACTCAAACACAACATCTTTGCCTGAAAATTTCCTGTACACTGCAGCAAAAGTCTCCAACTTGTACTCAGTGTTGTTTCTCTCCTTGGGGTCCAAAAACACCTATCCAGACAAGGACAATAATTCACTTAAAATAAAGATAAATAGTAACCAATGCACTAAAAAAACAAGAATAGCAAGTATTTATCCAAAGAAGAAAGCATTCATTATATAAAAAATACAAAGATTATTTAATACTTAGCTTTTAAAAACATTAAATAGGTTGGTTAACTAGAGACATTTTATTTGAATCTCAATGGTTGATTGAACACAGTAAGAGTGAGTAACTTTAGATGTTCTTTGGTTATAATAACTTTACCTTCATAATCTTGGAACCATCAATTCTATACCTAACACGCTTTCCAACAATCTCAGCAGGCAATACAATATCCTCCAGCATTGCCTCATGCACAGTAGTGAGTGTACGGCTGCGGGGACGCTGCACAGCAGAACCTTTCTTTGGTGGCCTTAATATCCTCCGGGTGGCAACCAGGATTACATCCTACATGTTTTAAGGGCCAATAATTTATAACAAAATGATGCATCACGTACCAAAAATGTGAATAATATAAGTGAAGGAATGGGCAGAAACCATCTGGGGACAGAATATTGATCCCAGATGTTAAGATAGAAAGAAAATATTCCAATCTAATAAATCTATGCATCATGTATCTAATAAGATTCTGACTACCTTTCCACTAAATTTTTTCTCAAGTTCTCTGACAAGCCTGACATGAATCTTTCGGAACCCTTTCCTTAATCTGTAGGGGATATGGATAACTACGGCCTTGCGGTTCCCAGAAACATCAATTTGGCTGTTGATCAAGGAAAATGCTAGTCAAAAGATAAGCAAAAATATCATGTCTTCACATACACAACCAATTAATATGCATCCTTACACTGCTGAATTTATATATAAATCTTTCAGATCACTTTTCAGCTCATTGTTGGTATTTTCTAGATCAAACAATGCCTGCAACAACAAATATGGAACAAAATAAAGAAAAAAGTTATTTAATCAGTGCACTTGAAACTTATAATCAGCTACAGCAACAGTAATGGTTCATCATAATAAAAATATACCTGTCCAACTGATTCCTCAAATTCAGTCGGCTCAGCATCCTTATCTTTGTGGATCTTCTTCCTTGATGTGTACATCTTCACAACTGGAACATGCACGTTATAATCATCAAATGAATAGACCAATTGAAACTATATCACAAATACTAAACTAATATTGAAATAACTAACAAACAGCTTGATCACATCTCCAATACCTAGTTACATCTACTGTCATTTTCACTAACAATCTCCCAGATTACAGAACATATCCAGCATGAATAAGTCAAATATTCTCAGCACCGTAAAGATAACAGCCATAATGGTACGGAAACTTTCACTTCTTATCAGAGTCATTTACTAACTTCGAAATTCAAACATTAGTTTGAAAGTTCAATTACATTCTAGTCCCATTTGAACATTATATAATGGGGACAAAAATGATAACATATCTATGAAAAAACAATCCTAAAAGTAACACAGGAAGCAGAAGCACACTGTTACAACACCGAATAGTGTACATACAGCGTGACATAACAACTAAGACTAAGATTCATGTCACTAGCGACAGGTTACATCTTAACTAAATCATAGAAATTGTTGCCACAGCCAGATAATGCCATAGGAAGCATGTCTCTGAATCTCATTCAAGGAATACAAACAAATTAAAAAAAACTTTTTTCAAGGGCCAATTCTTTATAACTCCAACAAAACAAAACAGAACAGTTGATCGAATTTTCATAGCAACACTTTTGCACAAATGCACAAATCTAACAGAAAATGAGAATCTAAAAAATAGAACTTTAATTCCGTTTCCCGTTGATTTTGGTTAAAATTACACAGAGTGCATTCAATCCTAAAAGGGTATCAGAATCCTACCTCACCTCAAGAAGATGCAAGCTACTGAGAGATCTGCTGCAAAGAGTGAGTTCCTGCTCTGTTTTCGCGGCAGTGAAAACCCTAAGATGATTGATTAAATTTGGATTATAAAGGTTGAATGAACGACTCAGATTGGCTATTCAGTACACATGGACGGCTACGATTTAGTAGGATAAATTATTTATCCTGACCGTTCGATTAGCCATTCTAATTTTTTTATTTCTTTTTAAAATACTTTTGTAATGCAAATAAAATTTTTTATTCTATCAATTTGTGTGTGTGATAATAATAAAAATTATAATAATAATAAATTATACGATTTTTGTATAACATTCTTGACCTAAGCATAAAATTAGATTTTAAAAAATATATATCTTTCTTTGTCTAGAATTTAGAAAATAAATTCACCCAAATTAAAAAAGTCATTTGGCCTTAAAACCTTACTTTTAACATCTTTTTATATAGAAATAGCAAATTAATTCATATTCAATGGATATTTATAAGTGTGTATTTTTTTATCCATCAAAATAAATTTAAATTTGAATAATTACACATAAACTTTTGTGAATGTGAGTTATGTACCTATACGTACACATTTATATACAATAAATATATTTATATTATTAGATTTTTATCATACTGCATAAGTTGAGTCTAAAAGTTTTTTACATTTTTATTAAATTAAATATTAAAATTTTTACTCAACTAATTTTTCTTTAGCTTTTTTTACAATCATCTTTGATATTAAAATAATATTTTTATTTTGTTAATTTGTTGAAGCAAAAGCATCTTAAATTATTCCAATACGAGTCCATTGTTAACACATAATACCGATCAATTAGTGGCATATTAAGGTTGATTGGCCCATCGTGTTATTTTTTTCTCAATTTTTGTTTCTTAATTATAGGTTTTCAAATTTGTTCTAGTTTTTTTTTTTTTTTCAATGTTATAATCTAAACTAAATTTTTATTATTTTGTAGTTCTTATCTTTATTTACGTTAATTCTATTTCTATTCACTTCTGTGAATGAATAACTTTCTCCTTTTTCATATTTAACTTTTTATTTTTCTATTATTTTGCTTATTATTTAAACGGATTTATTCCCTGACCCATCACAAGAAATAATATGCATTAACATTTTTCAACTTAAATTAAGAAATGGGCCAACCCCGGGATTGGTTCATTTTATAAATTTTTATCTCTATTTTTATAGAAGTAACTTAATTTGATCCTATTTTTCAATGCCATCAATAAAGATGTGGCTAAGAATCTCAACAAAGTTTAACCTGTTTATAATATTCTGACTCGTTCCTTCTTTGACTATAAGAAAATTTGAGAATATATAATCAGAATATGTTGAAATCTAAAGATCTTCGTCAATAATCAACATGTTCAATTTTGCTGTCATGAATTTTTATTGTCGTATATATATTACTCACTTTTTCACTACTTTCTGTTGTGACTTATGAATATATAATAGATTTTGATTTTACATAACAGTGTCAAAGAATTTTTTAAAAATGTACCGAGAATAGTCAATGGACACTAATTACTTTTTCGTGGCTGCCATTAATCATTGTGAATAAAGTGTAGAAAATATTTGAATCCAAACAGCATTTTTACAAACGCTTCTAGACTTCTCCGTTTTCTTCTTTTATAGAAAAAATAATCTTCCCACCAAAGTTTGTTAATATGGTACTTTGGAATATTTTTGAAATCTTATATGTATGTTGAGATTACATATTGCCTTCCAACTATTATCCTAGAATCAAATTGAAGTCTTGAGAAAGTGACATGTGAGTCAACCATATCAAACTTTATGAAATCTTCATGGTTTTACACACAATTTTCCACTCTGGATGTTACTGGCTTGGGAATATTGATTCCTTCTCAACCAAACAACTCATTACCAAAATGCATACATCAGAGCAGAGAAATTGCAACAGCAGAAAGATGTCTAATTGTACTATAAATAAATTATAGAACAATTACTGTTTATGAGTGCGTTTCAATGTACAATTTAATTTAGTAACTATTCAATAATTTTTTTAAAATAATGTTTTATGTCATAAATTTAACAGTAAAATTTATTCAGATATGTTAAAAACAACTTATTTTAATAAGCTAGGCTAAGCTTATTTAAATAAACTAAAAAAAAAGTTATAAAAGTCATTCATGAGTTTTTTATCTGGCCCTATTTATATTGGTAACTAAGCTAATCAACAATCTATTATCTAATAACAATACATTAATACATATCATAAAAGATAGTTTGTGAGTGGTTCTGATTTCTGAAATGGTTCCCTAAGATGTAAATCATGATCTTTGTATGTTCCTAAATTGCCATAATTCATCTATGTTAGACGTGCTACATGCAAATTCCTTGTTTAGCCAATTGCTTTCGGATAATTGGCAATCAACCACTGGGTATTCCAGATCCTTAGCATCCATTGTTGTTGTCAGGTTGAAGGCATCCATATCATAAGCACAATTATTTGCCTTATAACCATCATATGCATCGATGCCAAAGTCACTGTTATTATCCAAGGCCAGAAATTGACTACTGTTGTATCCCAAATTTTGAGACATATTTGGGATATTCACTGATTCTGAAGAGGAAATGCATGAACCATTGTTGTGCTCAGAGTCTGAATTCTGCTCATGCTGATCCAAACAATTGGAACCTCCTTCATTCAAAAAAGCTCCCTCACAGGTGATTTGTGTTGTTGCTATTGTCCTAAATTCTGAATAATGAGAAACAGCATCAAAAGACAAAGGAATTGCTTGGTTTTGGATTGACATGGTTGAAGGAAATGATTCTTGTGCTTTATGAAGACACCTTGACGTGTGTAATCTATCTGTGTCAAATTTCGAATATCTTGCTTGTTTCTGAATCCTAGTTCTCCAGTAATTCTTGATTTCATTGTCTGTTCTGCCTGGAAGTTGTTGTGCAATTTTTGACCACCTACAACAATCACAAAAGAACAATAAGAATCCAATGGAATAATATATAATATTCTTGAATTGAATATGCATAGCTTCACAAAGACTAGTAATTATGAAATATGCACCTGTTGCCCCACTTTGAGTGGAGTTCAAAAATCAGAAGCTGCTCTTCTGATGTTAAATTTCCTCTCTTTACATCTGGCTTTAGATAATTTAGCCATCTTAATCTACAACTCTTTCCTGTTCTCTTTAACCCTTTGAGATAATAATTTTAGCACATCAAAAAATAGAAAGCAAATAATCAGAATTAGCATAAGAACAAAAAATTAGTTTAGAAAATATGAAAATACCAAGTCTTGCATCAACAACAAATATATGTTTTTTTCTAATATTACCTGAACGTATAGCCAACAAATTCCATCTCCCTTCACCATGATTGGCAATGTAATTGGTGAGCAAATCATCCTCTTCAAGACTCCAAGGTCCTCTTCTAAGATCACTGTCATCTTCATAGTAACAGCTTAAGCTCTTTGAAGGTGTAGTAGACATGGTGATTGGTGAGTCTCACTGATCAATCCTCAAAACACCATGCATATATACATATGCAAAAGAGACTTACAATGAGTCTAGAAAGAAACTAGTTACAATGCAAATTGGGCTGCATAAGATATATAAGTACACTACACATGGACATGGTTTGAATCTCATAAACAGTGCCACATTTTTTTTGGGGGGGGGGATTTAATTTTTCAATGTGAATAATATGGATTTTGTTGCTTTTAATAAAGACAGAAAAAGGGTAGTGCTGTTAAAAATTCCTTATGACGGCTTCAATTTACCTTTCATGGTCACTGCCTCATAAAAGGTGGATAGGTTCATTGCTTAGCATAATACCTTGTTTCTAGAAGAATATAAAGCTACAGTTTATCAGTATATGGACATTAGTCACCGTATTTGATCATAGGAGACAAAATGTTATTAGTTGAGACCTGCAACTCCACTAGGTTGTCTTTGTCAAGGAACATATTCACTTCAATTTTACACCATATTGGTCACTCAATATTTTTATACAGGTACTGTTGTTTATTGAACGAAGTAAATTTTTATATTCGAATCTTGTGTATAAACACAAAGATTTAAATATATTTTTCATAATCATTTTTTTCATGTTAATGTTTATTCTTATAATTTATCCATTTTGATTTTAATCTTTATAATTTTATTTTATTTAGTTTCTGATCTCTTTAATATACTAATTAACATTGGTCCAAATAATTATACCTTGTGGAACATTTGTTTTGATATATCAGTAATAATGAGGATAAAAAATATTTTTTAAAATTATTGAGACTAAAAAATGAAATGTTAAAGTATAAGGATTGAAATTAATATAAAACTAATATTGTGAGAGCTTTATCTTTTTGGTTTTAGTACTTATAATTTTATTCAATTTAGATTTTGTTCTCTCTAATATATTAAAGAATTATATTATCAAGGTCTAAAATGACTTCTAAATAGATATACTGAGGGTTTCAGACCCCAAAAAAATTATATTAGCATGAAGATAGTTCTCCCTCTTTCTCTTTAAGGATAAAAATGAAAGCAAATAGACAACGGTATTAACGACTTTACAGTAATGCGACAAAAAATGCTAGTTTCTAATGTGTTGATATCTCTAGTCAAAACCAAGGAAAAAGAACAATGTTAAAATATATACATGTTCTGTTTATTTCTTTTTCAAATTAAAAGTATTTTTCATATTAATTAATTTTACTTGAGTTAATATTATTTACAATATAGTGAGATTAGTTCTTCTAACAAATTTTAGTATATACAAAATTTAAATATTTTATCTTATTTAAGGATAATCAAGTATGTAACACTTGAATAAATTCAGAAACTTGTTAGCATATTATTTTTAATTTTTTATTCAAATGAACAAGTTAGATTATAAATCTATTTACCAAACTTCTTTGATTCCACAAAATTTCACAAACAAACTTCGTCAAGACATGCAAATGAATACATTTAATAATTTCCAATCCAAAGCAGCATGATACATGAGTTATACGAACCAGTTCAACATCTATCTATCTATCTATCTATACATACATACATATACATATACATATATATATATATATATATATATATATATATATATATATATATATATTACAAGTTCTATTTTATGTATGCCTTGATATTTCCTCACGTCAAAATACAATTATTTTAATTTAAAAGTAGTTTACATGTTAAATAAGTAATTTCAATTTGAATGGAACTTAAATGTATAAATTTAAAATAATTAAAAAGAAAAGATTTGAAGTTATAAAATGAATATTCAGAATTAATTGATGTAGTTACTTAAAATTACAATTAATTTTAAAATTATTCAATCCAATTTGGTCCTGTTCCTTTCACAATATACTCTTACGATGGTTTTCTTTAATATAAACATTTAAATAATATATGAAGAATGCATTAAATGAAATAATCTATTCCATGGTTACCTTCGTGCCTTCCATGGAAACGGAACATGGCATAGATTCTCACATATTAAAACGTGCTGCTATAGCTGTTGCTGTAATGTGGGCATTGAAACACTGCTAGGAATCTTACAACTCAACCACATGTTTGTGTATACAGTTTTTCTAATTTATGTAAAATTGTACGTAATACAAATATAATTATATATAATAAATTTTTTTATTAAAAGTTGTACATTTCAATACACTTTAATGTTATCATTTTTAATATTAACTGTGTACGATTATGTATAAGAAAGTTAGGATTCGTTAATTTATCGTCCGTTAAAATAAAGTAATATAATTAAATATTTAATAATTTAAGTTTTTATAATATTTTATAAAGTTAATATATTTGATAATAATATTTAAATTAATGATTAGATTGATTAGTTTTATATTTTATAAATATTATTAAATTGTATGTGTTAAATTGTTACATAAAAAATGCTAATAATACACTATACAACACGCATATATATATATATATATACACACAGAGAGAGAGAGAGAGAAGAGAGAATGTTTATATATATATATATAACCGTCAATTGTTAAAAGATGTCTGCTTTAGTTTAAGAATAAATTCAATGTGGTTTCCTTTGTCCAAAATGGAAACTCAGAATGAGAAGAATAAATACTAGGAAAAGTCAGCTGCTTCTATATTTGAATTCTAATTCAAATGTTATAACTTAATTTTCTTCATTCCTTTCATGCGAATGATATTAAGTTTGAATTGAACAACGATAGAGGGTTACACAAATAATGGTGGGTACTAAATTTCTTTTTCTCAATCAACTTGGTTGAAGAATCAACAAAAGAAAATGTGAAGTGACTAAGAGTTTAATATTAAATTGGATTTTGTCGTTGATCGAGTTGAATGTGGTATATCTTTGTAAATAATAAAAGTTTCTTATGTATAATATGGGAAAAGCCAAATCTTCACAAACAAGTCGATGATCATCCTACATTAATTGATATTTACAATTCATCTCTTGTAAATCTTATATAACTTGATTCCATTGTAATCGAAATTTTAAGTTTAAGCTAAAATTACCAACATCTATATATTTAGCAAAAAGAAAAAGGGCCTATATTTGATGTCACCAACGTTATGAAGTAACTATTTCCTTAGACATAACTAGTTTGCACCCATTTCTGTTTGTTCTATGAGATATAGAATTTAAAGCCCAGCCCATTTTTCCTTTTGGCAAAGTTAATTTCCTAATTAATTAATCTTACTGTTTCTTAATTTCTTCTGTTCAATTTGCATCGCAATAATTGAATTGTAAAATGTTGGTGATTGTGACATGAAGAAGGGCATGTAACTGGTACAGTGTAATTGCCAAGTAAGAAGGCATGATCCATTACATAAGCATTTTGTTCGCAAAAGTCAGACCAGAAACTATGCAGAGACATATAATATGAGAGTGATCCATATAATTGGAGGAGAAGCAGGATAATGACATTGTAGTCATAAAGATAATAATGAAGATTATGATTATGTTTACGATGATATGATTATATCGTGATCATTTTATCGACTATGATGATTATTTTCAGAGACTGATATAAGGTTATTGATGATCAACAAAATGCATGCGTGGGTAAATTGATTGGCTGTGATTACGTATGAGTTACAATGAAATTAAATAGTGTTTTTTTTAACGCATTTTTTAAGGTATATATAAAAAATAAATAATAAAAATTTATTATATATAAAGGTTTATCATATATGTTTAAACATGTATTAAAAATACGACTAATGAAAAATAGATTTAGATTGAGCTTTAATTGTTTCAAAAATTGATTTAAAAATTTAAACTTTTGTCTTTGTTTACTGTTTAGGTTAGAATGAAAACAAATTAGGAAGATGGTAATAAATAAAATTTATTAAAAAAAATAAAGTATTTATTGTATAAGAAATATTTTTTTAACAAACTTTATTATTTTTAGCCGTTTATAATTATTCCTATAAGTTAATGTCAATAAGATCAATAACACATTTATGTATTAAAAAATTATACTTTAATTTTCCCACGAGGATGACATATTGTGCATTTTATTCTATTTTAATGTAAATATTTAATTTAAACATATTGATAGTTTTTTATATTTATTTAATCATAAATTGTTAGATTAATAAATATTATTTATGTATGGAATAATTAAATTATATGTATAATGTATTCTTGAATAACATAATTTTTTTTACAAATTTTGATAGTTGATGATAACAAATTTTAAACATTTTATTATATAATTTGAGAATTTTTAAAATAAAATGATATTTTCAATATCTCTTCTTGTTAAAGTCTATAAATCAACTCGATTATATAGCTTACCAATTTTTTTCACTAGTGGAGTTATATCTAAATAACCCATCAATTACAGTTGTCGAAATTTGGAAGTGAGTTAATATGATATGCCAAATATCTTTCCTATTTTGTTATTTTATAATATTTTAAAATTTATATTATTATTATTATTATTATTATTACGCCCAGCCGTAAAATGGGGTGTCTTTACTTTTTAACTTTATTTTAAAAAATAAGCTTATATAAGAATTACATAATATTATTGAATTTAATGTATTTATAGTATTAGGTGTTATAATTTTTATGCTATATCTGAATGAAATAGAAAATAAGTAGAAAGAATATGATAAGAAATAAAATATATAATATTAAAAAAAGCTTTGTTTGGATAAAAATATGAGATAACAGTAAAAAAATTAATTTATATAATTTTTAAAATAATAATAAATGTTTTATTTATACAAAAAATTTAAAAAATTATATAATATTTCCTTTCTTAATTGTGTTTTTTAAATATTTTATATTATTTTTAAAAATTTATTAAAAATAAAAAATAATCTTATAACATTTTTCACACAAAATCTTATCATTTTGTATGAAAAAAAAAAAACCGTGACAAGCCTCATAAAAAATAAAAATTTTATTAATATAAAACAAAGTATTTAAATACATAAACTTTTTTATTATCTTATATTGTTTGTTTTTTTGGTCTCTACTTAACTTTTTATAAAAACAAACAAATCATTAAAAATTACATTTATTAATTTTTGTATTACATACCTTTAAACAAAAATTAAAAATCGTTTTACAAATTATTGATTTT